CTTATTCGACCAAGCAACATAAAATCAGAAAAAAAAATACACACACACACACAAAATAAATAAATAAAATAAAATAAAAACTTGTATCATTTTCAGAATTTTTGTTGTTGTTTTTGGCTCAGCCGATATTTTGTTGTACGTTTTTTTTTTCTTTTTTTTTTTTTTGGTTTTTGTTTTGGCGTCTCAACAATTTTCATTCCTTTTCTTATTTTAACCGACACCCCACTCCCACTCGGCGCCACAAATCGTTGCGTATTTTTGTGTAGCACTCGAAGTTTGTCGTCTGCAATCAACGGACCGTAAAACGACGATGCACAGGCACGAGCTCGCGCGTTCAGAAAGAGAAAGAGAACGGGATATGTAATGGAGGACGATCAAATCTCGTTGCAAATCTCGTTTTTTAATAGAGGAGAACTGTGTTTCGCCGAAGGAAAGATACAGCCTCTCGTTCTAAACAAGAACAAATCGATCAGGCCTTTTGGATCGTAATATCGCCTGTAAAATATTCACCATCCACAGAAACGCAAAAGGAGTTAATAAAACACCCGCAGTTGACCCAATCAGCAAAAAAATATTCTTGACCTTAATTTTAAAAACTAAATAATAAAACTTAACCATTTTTTTTTTTTTTTTTATTTCCGGAAACATTATATTCCAAAACTTTTATGCAAGTCTGTAAGCGTTCTGGTATTACAAAGGAAATATTTGTCGCAGATTACTTCCACAACGCAGAGAATAAATCACTAAGTTAAGACTCGAACATCCTCAGAAAGAAATGCCGAAAACTTGATTCGCAGGTTCTATCTCACAATGCACGTAACCAGTCAGAAAAATAACTCCGACGAACGCGGTAGCCAAATTGCACCAACCCCCGATTTGAGAACACCAACTGCTTTTATCCGCGCAGCGTTTTTTTTTTTCATTCGTCGATCACTGGGAGAGGACGCCCAATTTTTGCATATCAAAATACTTTTATAGCGACCCCTGCGACGGACTTGTTTTTTTAATTTAAATATTCCATCTTCAGCATGTCATGTGGAATAGGTGCCCTCTTTTTTGGTAAGTAATTTTCTTTTTGATGTAATGAATATGCATACACCTGGGTTCCCCCTCACAGTAATATGATTGGCTGGTGTCAGTCATAAATACAGACTGATGTGGAGGTACGAGGACACCTATTGCCCACGCCTATTGCCTACCACTACGACGAGGACCAGTGCATTACGGTTACCTGCTAGATTGTCTTACCCGGTTACAGTAGTCAACAACCGCTTTGATATTTCGAACAAATAAATATCTTTCCGGGACATATCACTTTTTCGCCACATTTTCCGTCGTAAGATACACGCGACGCGCTCTCGCTTGGTTTGAGGAGGCAAGTCGCCGTTTTCTTCGCTATAAAGTCTTATAGACAAATACGATATATTGCGTTGTTATTTGACATAAGCCAACATCGATTCTGAGACCTGGGAAGCCGTTGCTGCAAATCGACCTTCCTGGAGTAGTACCATCCAAAGGGTTGGGGGGGACCGAGATTTTCAGCTCCAACCGTCAACATGGAGAGGATCTGCGACGTGATGGAGAAGGATGCCCCAGCCGCGTCCACACACATTCCTGAGATGTTCACGTATTCTTCAGGCGTACGCTGGCCTATATATTCAATTATTCGGATCCGGTATTCAGTATCTGTCATATTTTTGTCACATTATATTTATCAGACTATTGTCCTCATCTTTGTTGCCATATTTATCCGATCCTTCAGTATATTTCTGAGATGAGGTATTATGTACACTATTTACATTATTTGGACTATTGTCCTCATCTTTGTTGCCATATCTATCCGATCCTTCAGTATCTGTCTATATTTCTGAGCTGAGGTATTATGTTCACTATTTACATTGCTCGGACTATCATTCTCATCTTTGTTGCCATATTTATCTCATTGTATCGGCCGTTGTACGCTCCGGCCTTCTTCAGGTGGTTGGATTGTCGAACTGAACCCTTTATTTCGGTCGCTGGGTTAGACTGTTCTAGTTCCACGTGCCATGTCTAATGGATGTCAGTTATCAGTTATCTCTTGTTAATTCCCCTCTCCAAGTTCTCCACCGCCTTAACCGGGTATTGAACTCACACTCTTTGGGTCCTGACACTGGATCTAACCAACGCTTTTATCCACTGGGCCATGTATCCTCGAGGACACTTGGCTTAGTGACAGGACCCAAAGAGTGTGAGTTCAATGCCTGGTTCGAAACACATCTCTGTTGCTTCAAGACCTTTCTTCATCACTGAATGGATTGTCCAACATTCACTGGCATGAAAGAGATTAGACAACGCAAAATTTAACAAGGACGTTTTTGTTATATTAATAATTTGCTTTCGTCTGTGGAACCATATTTCTGTGGCTTTAAGTCTCTTATTTGTCTGTGAGGAGATTGTCCAACATTCAAAGCCATATAGGCGATCACACATCATTTCATCGTCCGTCCATTTGTTTCTTTACCAGTCAGTCAGTCAGTCATGTACCATGCGAGATCTTTCGATACATGACTTTCTGACGAGGCAAATTTTTTTCCGCAGTAGGTTGCCATTTCTTTATGCAGTAGACCTGTTGCCATCCAAGGCTATAGAACCTGCTATTTACCCATAGCTGGGGATGAAGAGAATTCATACTTTTCCCAAGAGTAAGTAAATGCACAACAGTCAGTCACGTGCCATGCAGGATACACGTTTAGGCGATCATGTATCTTTCGATACATGACTTTCTGACGGGGCAGATTTTTTCCCACAGTAAGTTGCCATTTCTTTATGCGGTAGACAAGCTGCCATCCAAGGCTATAGAACCCGGTCTATTCTGCTATTTACCCATAGCTGGGGGTGAAGAGGATTCATAATTTTCCAAAGAGTAAGTAAGTGCACGTAAATGAATAACAGTCAATCATGTGCCATGCGTGATACACGTTTAGGCGATCATGTATCTTTCGATACATGACTTTCTGACGAGGCAGATTTTTTTCCAACAGTAGGTTGCCATTTCTTTCTGCGGTAGAAAGTGGTAGACCACTTTCGGCGGTAGACCAGTTGCCATCCAAGGCTATAGAACCCGGTCTGTCTTGCTATTTAACCATAGCTGGGGGAGAAGAAGAGGATTCATACCTTTCCCAAGGTTATTAGCCCGTAAGTGAATATCAGTCAAATATGTGCCATGCGTGATACACGCTTAGACGATCATCTATCTTTCGATACATGACTGCCGAGGCAGATTTTTTTTCCGGTAGATCAGTTGCCATCCAAGGTTATAGAGACCGGACTGTCCTGCTATTTACCCATAACTAGTGGTGGGGGAGATGTGAGGATTCATACCTTTCCTAAGGCTATTAGCATATAAGTGAATGTTATGGATTCGACTGGATTCCGCAATCCAAGCCGCTATCAATTACTCCAACTTGCCTCCTCTACACAACCATGCCTCCTAGTTGATGGCGTCAACGACCGGGATTGAACCAGCAACCTTTAGATCTTCAGTCTAACGCTCTTCCAAATGAGCTAATTCGGCTACTTAGTTTAATTTCTGGAAGACATCTTTCACACTTCCTATACGCTTTCAAATTTCTTGGACGGCCAGTCGCTAGTTAGTCGGACATAAGGTCATTTTTTTTCTGATTGTTATCAGCCGTTTCTTCGTAGTTCCTTTGCATTTTCGCATCTCTGGAATATTTTGTTCATGACATTGCCAGAGTTCGTCGGTAGGAAACATGCCGGTTGTCTAAAGTCTTATCTATTGAAAATAAGAAATAGAAACAAAGACAAATAAATAAAAGGTCAAATGTTTGTCCTTGCTGACCGATATTTTTATCTGCCAATATTTTAGGTTTCCTTGTCTTTGACACTGCGCGAAATTAGAAGCAATGTCGAATCTTAGATAAACAGGAATGTTATCAGCGGAGAGATATCAAAATGGCGATCAAATTTTAAAAATATGAAAATGTCTTCAAAATATACCTTCGATAAAAGTGGGAATAAGAAAAATGTAGTAGAAAAAACAAAAAGAAAGAAAGACAAAAAGAAAGATGAATGAATCTCAATGAAAGAAAGAAAGAAAAAGATAAATGAATAACAAAGAAAGAAAGAATGAACGAAAGAAAGAAGGAAAGAAAGTTGAATGGTTCTCAAAGAAAGAAAGAAAGATAAATGAATCACAAAGAAAGAATGAACGAAAGAAAGAAGAAAAGAAAGAAAGATGAATGAATCTGAAAGAAAAAAGAAAGATAAATGAATCACAAAGAAAGAAAGAATAAACGAAAAAAAGAAAGAAGGAAAAAGATGAATGAATCTCAAAGAAAGAAAGAAAAAAAGAAAGATGAATGACTCACAATGAAAGAAAGAAAGAAAGAAAGATGAATGACTCACAATGAAAGAAAGAAAGAAAGAAAGAAAGAAAGATGAATGACTCACAATGAAAGAAAGAAAGAAAGAAAGAAAGATAAATGAATCACAAAAAAGAAAGAATGAACTAAAGAAAGAATGTAAGAAAGAAAGAAATATGAATAAATCTGAAAATAGAAAGAACGATAAATGAATCACAAAGAAAGAAAGAAAGAAAGAAAGAAAGGAAGAAAGAAAAAAGGAAGAAAGAAAGAAAGATGACAGAAACTCAAAGAAAGTGAGAAAGAGCGGAAAAACGGAAGAAAGATGAATGAATCTGAAAGAAAGAAAGCTGAATAAATTATTCTTAAAGAAAGAAAGAAAGATGAATGAATCTGAAAGAAAGATAAATGAATCACAAAGAAAGAAAGAAACAACGAAAGAAAGAAAGATGAATGAATCTCAATGAAAGAAAGAAAGAAAGAAAGAAAGAAAGAAAGAAAGAAAGAAAGAAAGATGAATCTTAAAGAAATATTACTAGATATATAAAAAGAAAGATAGAAAAAAACGAAGAAAATGAATGCATCTCAGGGTTTAAAATAATAAGGAAAACGAGAGAAAAAAGATAAACAATAAAATCAGCGAGTAAAAGAAAGAAAGAAAGAAAGAAAGAAAGAAAGAAAGAAAGAAAGAAAGAAAGAAAGAAAAGAAAATAATATAAGAAAGAAAGGAATCAGCAAAATAATCTCAGAAAAAGAAAGAAAGAAAGAAAGAAAGAAAAAAAAAAGAAAGAAAGAAAGAAAGAGAAAATAATATAAGAAAGAAAGAAAGAAAAAAGAAAGAAAGAAAGAAAGAGAAGAAACTTCAATGGAATAACAAGATAAATAGTCGACTAAATTAATGAAGGAAAAATGGCGGAAGAAATGAAAACAACAAATTAGAAGATATAAATAAAATCACTAAGTTGTAAAATTAAAATGGAAGACTGGAGATTTTTGAAAAAAGAAATGAAAAATATAAAGTGGGTTATTTTCCGAAAATTAGAGAATTCATTTTTTTATTGGAAATTTTAGATAGGATGACCGAATAGAAAAACCTGCAGATTCAGATAAGAGTGTAAGTTAGTAACGGAGTGAGAGAAATTGAGAGAAAATGTGACAATATAAGAGAGAGGGGGGAGAGAGAGAGAAATGGAATAAGAGAGGGTGACAGAAATAGGGGGGAAGAGTGAGCGAACAAGAGACAGAACGTGAAAGATTATAATACGTGAGAGAGGGGCGAAAATGTAAAAAAAAAAAAGAAATTAAGTTAAAGGAGTGAGAGGGAAAATGATAAGAAAGGAGAAGTGGGGTGAGATAAAGTGATAGAGAGAATGAAAGAAAAAAAAACAGAGTGAAAGTAATAGAAAGGGTGGCATTAAAAATTGTGTGAGAGAAAGAGAGATTGTACGTGAAGAGGCAGTAGAAAAGAAAAGAAGTGCTAGTAGAGCAGAAAAGGAAAAAAAAACTGTGGTGGAAAAAAGCGGCAGGTGATGAAGAAGTAAAAGAAGATAGAGAGGGTGACAGAATTTGCGAAAGAAGACGAGAAGAGAGAGAGAGAAGACCAGTGAGAGAGCAAGATAAGAGATAAACGTACAGAAATTAATCAAAAGAGTGAAAGAGCGAGCAAGAGAGAGAGAGAGTAAGAGAGAAACAGAGTTGACAGAAAGAGTGCAAGCTAAAAGAAAAGAAGTGATAAGTTTTAGATTTTTTCTAACCATTTCACCCCAAGCAAGGCGATAAAATCACTAAGACACAAGAGTTTGTTGTGAGGTGGGTGTGTATTGACCCGGAAACTAATATTGAATTACGGGAGAAAACAACAAACAAAACGAAGAGTTATAAAAATAACTTAAACATCAACAAAAATAAGGTACAGTGGAAGAAAATATATCTGCATGTTAATGTAGAGGGGGAGAAAAACATCGTCCTGAGAAGGAAAGATTTTGGTAGTCATTAAAGAGCTATGTCCTAAAAAGGACAGTTTCGTAGACGCTGAAGAGTGTTGTCCTAAAAAGGACGGTTTTTTTTGTACCGAAATATAATCGGTGAAGAGCGTTATCCCGAAAAAGACAGTTTTGTAGCTGCTAAAGAGCGTTGTCCTGAAAAGGACAGTTTTGTAGCCGCTGAAGAGCGTTGTCCTGAAAAGGAGAGTTTTGTAGCCGCTGAAGAGTGTTGTCCTGAAAAGGAGAGTTTTGTAGCCGCTGAAGAGCGTTGTCCTGAAAAGGACAGTTTTGTAGCCGCTGAAGAGCGTTGTCCTGAAAAGGACGGTTTTTTGTACCCAAAAGGACAATTTTATAATCGGTGAAGAGCGTTATCCCGAAAAAGACAGTTTTGTAGCTGCTAAAGAGCGTTGTCCTGAAAAGGACAGTTTTGTAGCCGCTGAAAAGCGTTGACCTGACAAGGACAGTTTTTTGTACCCAAAAGGACAATTTTATAATCGGTGAAGAGCGTTATCCTGAGAAAGACAGTTTTGTAGCTGCTAAAGAGCGTTGTCCTGAAAAGGACAGTTTTGTAGCCGCTGAAGAGCGTTGTCCTGAAAAGGACAGTTTTGTAGCCGCTGAAGAGCGTTGGCCTGAAAAGGACAGTTTTTTGTACCGAAAAGGACAATTTTATAATCGGTGAAGAGCGTTATCCCGAAAAAGACAGTTTTTTAGTCGCTGAAGAGCGTTGTCCTGAAAAGGACAGTTTTGTAGCCGCTGAAAAGCGTTGACCTGAAAAGGACAGATTTGTGGTCGCTGAAGAGCATTGTACCGAAAAGGACAATTTTATAATCGGTGAAGAGCGTTATCCCGAAAAAAAAAAAACAGTTTTGTAGCTGCTAAAGACCGTTGTCCTGAAAAGGACAGTTTTGTAGACGCTGAAGAGCGTTATCCTGAAAAGGACAGTTTTGTAGCCACTGAAAAGTGTTGACTGAAAAGAACAGTTTTGTAGTCGCTGAAGAGCATTGTACTGAAAAGTACAATTTTATAATCGGTGAATAGCATTGTCCTGAAAAGGAAAGTTTTGTAGCCACTGAAGAGCATTGGCCTGAAAGGTGTTTTGCAGTTGATGAAGAGCATTGTACTGAAAGGGACAGTTTTTGTAATCGATGGACAGCGTTGTCCTGAAAAGGACAGTTTTGCTTGTCACTGGAGGGCGGTATACTGAGAAAGGCAGTTTTTGGTAGTTGGGGAAAAGCTTTGTCCTGAAAAGAATGATTTTGTTATCGTTGGAGTGCGTTTTCCTGAAAGATACAGTTTATTGCACATCGTTGCAGCTGGCGAGGATGGCTAGAGCTGGATTCCTGCTAGAGATGGCTTGTGCTGTGGCCGATGACGAGCTGGAGATGATGGCTGGCTCCCTAACTAGAAACCCTGGCCGGTTATGGTACATATACTACACGGTATTTACACAGAGCCCCGTTACTGGTGCGGGATGCGACACAAGGTCAGTTGGAGGACCCGAGCGCGTACATTCAGGCCACTAGTCAAATATTGGTCAATGATTGCTCATCCCCCGTTTACGCGGAATCGGACACCAAGCTGTCTCAGCTGGGCATATATGTCTGAACAGATGCTAAGAGGTATTTACCAGACTACCTAACAAGTCAGAGTGCCACACAAGGTCAGTTATTTAACGTGGCGAACCCGAGCGCGTTATACCGAATATTTGACCAGTGCTCAGGGCACTGGTCAAATATTGGTTTATTTTTGCCTTAGATTTATCTTGACCTACCAGAGTCTCGCCTTGGGAAACAGCCACCATGATTCTAGCCTTAATATATCTGTTTTGTCTTTCTGAATGTTCTTCTTTCGATTCCCGTTTACGTATTCTTTTGCATCTGTAGAATAGCCTGGCCACCATGCCTCTAGCCTTAATCTCAATTGCGATAGACGTTTTTCCGCAATAAACATCGTCACGTATGTTTCTTTTTTATAATGTTTCTCCTTTGCGTTGCTGGCAGAACCCCTTTGTTAAAAATTACACCCTTTTTCTACGGTTAACTTTAAAGCTCCATTCTGCTCGTGAGCAGTTATTCCACTAAATATTTTTATCGTGAATAACATACTGTTCAATATGGGATTTTGTTTCGTATCCTCAGCTAATTTGTCTATCGACAAAATATCAAATCCAACCCAATGTAAGAAAGTATCTTCAAATCTTTCCTCTTCTTTCTCACTTTCAGAAGGAACCTCAATATTAACAAAGCGTCTACATGCGCAATGTTATTCCCTTTCATGTACTATCAAAGTCAAACGCCATTAATATTAAGGCCCATCTTAGAATTTTAGAAGACGTTACCTTAGGAAGTTCCATTCTAGGATTAAATAAGAATTCTAAAGGTCTATGATCGGATCTTAGGAGAAATGTCTTTCCAATCTGTTGTAACATACCTACGGGCGATAATGGGTATGTCCCCAATTACATAAATACAGTAGTAAATACTGCATGTTGGTCTGCTTTTGGAGATTTGTCGCCAGCTGTATTGGTCAAACTCTCTGCTTCCGGGAAGAGAGCATCGACATATAAGGCTATGTTGAAGGGCAGAGTCTCGTCTCGAGAAACAGCTACAGTGCCCCGTTTTATACGGGGATTTCGGGGAATTTTTGGCCGAGCTTACGGGTTCGGATACCCCACATTAAATTCGGCCTTGTGTCATATCTGAACGCGTAGGACAGTGGGTAGATATCCAGCAGTTGGAGTTTCGTCTCCAGGTTTACTGGTCAAACACTCTGATTCCGGGTAGAGAGGATCCCCAAATGTCGAAGGGCAGAGTCTCGTCTCGAGAAACAGCTACCGGACCCCGTTTTATACGGGATCTACAGGGAATTTTGGGGCGAGTCTACGGGCTCGGATACCCCACATTAAATTCGGCTTTGTGCCACATCTGACCGGGTGGTTGGTAGATATCCTGCAGTTGGAGATTCATTGTAGAATTAACTTGGCTCACTTCTAGCAGTTGACTGCTTCTTCTACGCGCCTCTGGCGAATCTTATATGTGTTGTTCTTGTCCTAAGTATTATCGTTAATTACCAACCTTCGTTTGATTGTTCTATTCACATTTAAATCAATGAAGATCGTAGTTGGGCGGAAAAGCAAGTATCTACAAAAGGGTGGCACAGGCGAGAAGTGTTAGAATAGAAACTAAACTTAGCAATTTCAAATGATGAGAGCTAGCTTACCAATGTAGTTCTACTATTAACGGGAGTAGTAGACTTTAGAAGAAGAAGAAAAAAAAAAGAGAATCCGCTTGTGGGTAGGTATGGGCAAAATATCAGATTTAGAAATTTGTAACTGAAGTGTTATTTAAGTCTCCGCCATGTTTATTCAAAGGCAAACAACTCCCGGGCAGCTTATGACAAACAGCGTGATTCCCAGCAACAGACACGCTCCGATTATCACAGTAAGGGAAGTTATGACGAGGAAATATTTATGTGGAGAGATGAGATCGAGCAGACACATGCCCAGCGTATGAACAAAAACAACAAGAAAGAAAGAAAGAAAGAAAGAAAGAAAGAAAGAAAGAAAGAAAGATGAATCAAAAAAAGAAAGATGAATGAATCACAAAGAAAGAGAGAAAGTGTGACACTATTTAGGGTTGCGTGAAAAAAAAAGAAAAGGCGAGAATTAAATGAGGTGATAATAAGCTATCGCGAAAAGACACTGAACGATGTTATTTTTTCTAACAAAGAAAAGTGGTAAAGATTTTATTTTCATTAGCGAAGAAAGTAAGATCTCGGTTCTGCCGGGTTTAATTTGATTTATGACGACGCACCAAATAAAAGATAGCCGTCTACCCATTAGTTGGGGTTAGAAAGACAGGCAAGAATTGAGCTGTGAGCTCTGAGACCCGCCTCGCAGGAACCTGACTGAAAGATCCACGCAATCACGACCTCAACTTTTAACCAAACATTTATTTTTGAAGAACGACTTAGACTCACACCACCAAAACAAGTTTTACGAATATCACCTGAAGATACACCAAAACCAGTTTCTTAAAAGAACAATTTAAGATATTAAGACTCGCCTAACAAACACAAAGTGTCACGAATCCATATTAGCGGTTTGGGAGAAAGATGCAGTCCTGTATTCAGCAACCAGATATAAAATATTGTTATTCCTTTTTTAACCCATTTGAACTTTTCGAGTTATTACTTTATTTTCTTTTACATATACTTGTGCGGTATTACCCTTGTTCGGACTCAACTTGCATTACGGCCCGGCGACTGATTGATTTCGTCTACCTAAGATCAAATCACAACGTGTGTAGGTTAGACTAGAAATCAAATCAATTACTTCGGTAACCAGACGTTGGAAGCGAGCTGGGGACGACAAGGCTGATACCAAATCTAACCAGATTCCCATCCGAATCAGCAAAAGGTTAGAACGTCACATTTGGCGCAGCGACCCCGGGATGACGTCACAAAAGAAAAAAGAAAGATGAATAGACCACAAAGAAAGAAAGAAAAAAAGAAATATGAATAAATCACAAAGAAAGAAAATGAATAAATGACAAAGAAAAAAGAAAGAAAAAAGATGAATGAATCACAACGAAAGAAAGAAAGATGAATGAATCTCAAAAAAAGAAAGAAAGAAAGAAAGATGAATAAATGAATGAATAACAAAGAAAGAAAGAAAGAAAGAAAGAAAGAAAGGACGAATGAAAGAAAGATGAATGAATCTCAAAGAAAGAAAGAAAGATGAAGGAATAACAAAGACAGAAAGAATGAAAAAAGAAAGAAAGAAAGAACGAATGAAAGAAAGAATGATGAATGAATCACAAAGAAAAAAAGAACCGGACATATGAATAAAAGTAACAAAAAAGTCAGACAATTTATAAACGCTAATCATCAAACAAACGTTGTGAAATTAACTTCAAAATTTTGTGTAACGCAGTATACCACCAGTATAGATGCAGTCATTTTTTTCCAAAGACGAAAAAAAAAAAAAAAAAAAAAAAAAAAATCAGTACTCACTGTTTTTCTTCAGGACATAGACGATCATGGCTCCCCCGAACTTCCTATCTCGTGTGATTTAACAGTTTCTCTCCTTTTGCTAAGACCATCTTTTACGGCCTCTTTTTTGATATTTCGTTTGTGCTTTTCAGTTTGGAAGAGTTTTCCGAAAACTTTTTACAGTTACGATATCTAAAGAAATATTCCCGAAGATGTTATTTCGATAATAAAAATAAAAAAAATCAAATTCCAGAGACGCATATGCATTGCGATAGGTCCTGATCTGGCATCTCGTCTACAGTTACTCCACGTCCCTCAAAAACCTACAATTTCTCGATCAGAGGGCTTGCTGCCGGATGTAGTTTATCATCATACCCAGGACAAAGATATGGTCTGGAGCCCCCACTCTTCGTCTCAAGGTCCTCGACAAAATCCAGAGATGGATATGCAATGTAATTGGTCCTGATCTACCATCTTGTCTTCAGTCACTTTCTCACAGACATGTCGTCGCTTCCCTCTGTCTTTTCTACAAGTACTTTCATGGAAACTGCTCCGACGAGCTATTTTTGCTGGTTCCCAGACTGCATGAATTTAAACGTGCTACTAGGTGGACATCTCAGTCCCACCCTTTCATGGTCAAAACGGTTAAATGTAGCCGTCTCTTCTACTCCAATAGCTTCATCTCTTGCACTTCCCATCTGTGAAACTCCCCTTACTTGCTTCCCTGACAGTTATAGTCTTCAAATATTCAAATGTAATGCCATTCGACATCTTCTGATGCCTTGATCTAATTTCCCGTCCTTTTCTTCATCCTCTCCTCAATCATGTGTGTTTACTCTTGACCCCACTCTCTGTAACCCCTTGCGTGACACTCCCTCCTTGCTTAGGGTTAAATGCCTAAAAAAATAAATAAAATGAAACTGAAAAAATAGTTTTGCTTAATCTCGGCCCTTGCATAATTCAATAAAACACATTATTTTCTTTCAGGTTGGGCATGAAAAAATCTACACTGAATAATTATCTATCTATCTCAGTCTGTTCGTATCTATCTATCTATCTATCTATCTATCTATCTCAGTCTTCTTTCTGTCTATCTCAGTCGGTTCATATCTATCTATCTATCTATCTATCTATCTATCTATCTATCTATCTATCTATCTCAGTCTGTTTCTATCTATCTATCTATCTACCTATCTATCACAGTCTCTTCATATCTATCTACCTATTTCGGTCTGTTCATTATCTATCTATCTATTTCAGTCTCTACATATCTATCTACCTATTTCGGTCTTTTCATTTCCTATCTGAGTATAATCATTATCTATCTATCTATCTATCTATCTATATATATATATATATATATATATATATATATATATATATATACATCAGTCTGTTCGTATCTATCTATCTATCTATCTCTCTATCGATCTATCTATTTCAGTCTCTTTATATCTATCTACCTATTTCGGTCTGTTCATATATATATATATATATATATATATATATATATATATATATATATATTCGTCCGTATCTATCTATCTATCTATTTCAGTCTCTTCGTATCTATCTATCTATCTATTTCAGTCTCTTCATATCTACTTATTTCGGTCTGTCCATTATCTATCTATCTATCTATCTATCTATCTATCTATCTAATACTAAAATTCTGTGACTGCGTGCTTGCTTGTGTGTTGCGTCCGTCTGTCACATAATGATTTACGAGTTGTTTATAAAGTAAATATTTTAACTTCAAACAAACATTATTTTAATTAAAATATTTTTAAGTTAAAGACAGACACAAAGAGATCCCGCTTTGCCGTTTCGTCCAGTTGTTTGTAGAGTAATTATTTATATTTCAGCTTTCTTTAAACAAATATTATTTTAAATATTATTCAAAAAAATATTTTGCATATGTAAAAAATATCTTCAAGTAAATTTGATTTAAAAATATTTTTTTGGCATATTAAAAATATAGTTAATTTCATTTAAAGTTCAAGTTTATCCCGGGAGTTCTATTTCTATTGATGTAAACAATCAGTAAAACGTTAAACATGAACTTGTAAACCAGACCAATGATGACATGAAAGAATTGAAATATTTAACTTAATCATAATCAAATTAACTTTCATTTCAATGGAACGTTGAAATCAACTTCATGTATTTTATAACCTGACCGTCAGTGACCCAAAGGGTTACGGATAGTCTAGTTATTTTTTACAAAATTTACTCAAAACTTTTCAGTGGGATTTTGAGATTCATCCAGTTGCTGTACGTCACAAGAGTTTTTTTTTTCTTTTATTGACTGAAGACATGTTTGCTCTTTTGTTAGGAACTCGAGTTACTATAGTGGCATTCATCAAATAGTAATGCAGCATTCATCTTGTCCAGCGTTTCTCAACCGCGGTTCTATGGATCCTTAAGGTTCCGCAAAAGGCCCCCCGAGGGTTCCACGAGAACAACTGAGATAAGCTGATGAACATTTGACTTTTTATTTAATTTCCTATACGTAATATTACTAAACACACACAATATATTCTTGATTATTGTAATATTGAATATAGACATCTTCCTATCTAACCTATTTTGTTATTAAAAAAATATAACAATCATTGGGAATATATTTAATGATGTCTGTATGGCGCCAATGTGAAACCCCCTTCACTAGTCAGTGTCGACTCAGAGAACGGGACCTGTACTTAAAGTTACTTATTTCTTTGTTTTTTCTTTATTTTTACAGAAATTCCTAATCACCCAATATGGCGATTTTTGAAGAGGAAACATTTATTGATTCACAGGCCATTTTGCCTTCATTTACTTTGTCTTTTCAACATTGCCAGTAAAAGATAAAAAGCTAAAAAAATAAAAATAAACGTACAAATGGGAATTAGCGTGACGTCGCTATTCTCTATACCAGCCTTTCTCAACCAGGGTTCCCAGGAACCTTAATGTTCCGCAAAAGGTCCCTAAGGGATCAGAAAGAATAGGTGAGATAAGCTGATGCACATTTGACTTTTTATTTAATTTCATATACGTAATATTACTAAACACACACAATATATTCTTGATTATTGTAATATATTGTAATATAGACATCATCCTATTAACAAAATATAACAATCATTTGGATAACATTTAGTGATGTTTGTACGGCGCCGAAAAATTTGAAAAAGAAGTATTAATTTTTCCTTAAATCAGTTATTCAAAAATATATACTATGATATTTATCACGGGAATAATGATGAAAATAAAAGGTGAAAGATGTGGTATATAATTTTGTTTCTTTTGCGCAGGGATACCTCGAGATATGTAATTTATTTTAAGGGTTACGCAAGGGTAAAAGGGTTGAGAAACGCTGATCTCGTCTCTTGCAAAATTTTTTGCCGATAGAAATCCTTGATATCGGAATATCTTTTTTAAATCGGTATCAACCCAAGAAAGACACTACAGCTACGCAAGGGGTTACACAGTGTGGAGATATTTGGAACAGAAACATTTTCTATAATTAATATGTAGTAAATCATCGGGGATCAGTTTATTACTTTATAACAGTAGAAAACCGATCCCCCACTTTATGACCAATTGACTCTTACTGCCAGTTTAGGTAATTTTTTAAGTTCTTATATTTTTCAGAAGGTTTTCATATGTGAATCTTTAAGTATTTGTTTGCAACTATTAAGCAATGTGGTATTTAATGGGGGATCAATTTATTACTAAATAACAATACAAAACGGACCCCCACTTTATGACCGGTAGATATTTAATAAAAAGTTTAGCCATGCTGTCAAAGAAGATAATTTGTTAATGTCTTACTCTTATAAAAAGATTTCATATGCAAGTCTTTAAATATATTTGTTTGCAATTATTAATATGTGGTATTTAATGGGGGGTCCGTTTATTACTTAATAACAATACTAGAGTGATCCCCCATTTTATGACCTGTAGAAACAAGACCAGTTTATCCATGCTGCCAAAGAGTAGTCAGCAGCCTAGAAAGACAGTTACCTGGCCATCGGAAGATTATCCTGGATGTAAGTTTTTAGAAGCTATGCGTGGCCTCATTCTCTCAGCAAACAGCGACTTCTTCAAAATGAATCCCAATCAGCATGCTGGTAACGGAAAGAGCTTTTATGGATGGGGGATCCTGTTTAATGGATGCTTGGAAGGAGATAGTAATAGCTATCACAGTGTGGTCAGAGTTACTAAAAGGGGCAGTATTGTGAAGCTCTCAATGGCAGAATTCTGGCAACATCAAGAATGTTTCAGTCATTGTGTCATGATGAGCATTAAAGTAATTGAAAACAAAGGCGGATGTAGAAAAAGTGCTTTTTTGAGATTTGTCAGCTATTGCGTCTAATATACTGCAGTCTTGGAAAGAGGGAGAGCAATAAAAGAAAAAGAGATAACTGACAGAATTTAGTAGAAAAAAACAAAAGCACGTGAAAGAGGACGTGATGTTACGAGCAGTAGCATCTATTACGACGAGAGCTGTCACGCCGGTATCGCCGGAAATAGTAGTTCCTATTTGGTATGGCGGCCGAGCATGCTGGTGTAAACCACGGAGACGACTGCAGTTTTTACCTGATATTTACGAAAAGTGTTGAAAGTTATACGTATCGTGAGAAACATTACATAAGGAATAAACTTCTCAAAGAAATATATAAAAAAAATTCATCTCAGATCATCAGGTGCAGACCATTAAAAACACTGCCGCAAGTCCACATTATATTATATTATAATAAGATTGTTTGGCTTACAAAGGACGCAAAGAGAGATGTGATCTTTAACAGTTTGACATTTCGATGGGTTCGTTTGCTGGGGCTAAGGCTTGTAGGATTGTTCATTTTGCATAAGCTGGGCGAAAAAATAAAGTACGTAATGGATTACATAGAGCCGACGGCTTTAAATTTTTTGAGTTCAACAGAAGGTAGAATAATTGATAAAAACAGAAAACACCTGTTTCAATTATTTAAAAGCTTGGGATAGAGATTTGAAAACATTCAAATAACTTTAAATGACGTCACTTTGAGGGACATGAAATTGGTTCTATCAAAAGTGAGGGCACAGGAATTAACCAAAAAAAAAGACAGTTGCTTAAATATATACAGAACAATACTTGAAAACGAACGTAGCAACATACTCGAATAAAATAAAGTAATATATATATATATATATATATATATATATATATATATATATATATATATATATATATTACAATAAACGATGCAATCAATTTACAAATACATGAATTATTCACACAAAAACTAATGCAAGGTTAATGATTTAAATGGCGGGACATCCATCATCGCAAACAATTCAAATAATATACAAAAACCTCCATATCCGTTATGAATGAAATGATCCCTGTTTATATAAATTTCTGCCGTATTAGGTCTTATTTTTACTACAAGCTTTTTTATTTTTACTACAAGTAATTTAAATAACTGATCCAAGTGCGACTTTTGGATAATAAGTGCGACATTACTGTAATTATTGAACAATATAGTTCATGCCACTTTGACAGAAAAATTTACCAGTAAAAAATTCGTTCATCACCATATATGAACGCACAACCTTTAAAAAAACTTAAAATTTAAAATCAAACTCAGCGATGCTTTAGCGCGCTCCAAAAACAGTAACTCATTTTCAATAGCATTTTCGGATACAAAAATACATATATTTTCGTTGTCCTCTTATTACTAAGAGAAAAAAAACAAGAACAACATCTATTCTAAACCTGAAGATGTCTGTAGGAACAAACGAAAGCTTGTAGTAAAAATAAGACCTAATACGGCAGAAATTTATATAAACAGGGATCATTTCATTCATAACGGATATGGAGGTTTTTGTATATTATTTGAATTGTTTGCGATGATGGATGTCTCGCCATTTAAATCATTAACCTTTGCATTAGTTTTTGTGTGAATAATTCATGTATATATATATATATATATGTGTGTGTGTGTGTGTGTGTGTGTGTGTGTGTGTGTGTGTGTGTGGAATGGTCATGTCTTGAGAATGCCTGATGACAGGATAACCAAGATCCTAATGTACAGCCAGTTAGATCAGGGCTACAGCAATGTAGGACGCCCATGTCTAAGATACAAAGACAATCTGAAAAGCAACTTGTCAGCAGTCAATATACCACATAACACCGTTGACCGCTTAGCCTTGGAGCGGGTAGAATGGCGATCAACGTGTTTTAGCGCACTCAGCAATTTTCAATCTGCTTGTCTGAATCATCTTCAAGAAGCGACAGCAAGATCTAAAAGGTCAGCGCGTTGAGCGCTTAGCCTTGGAGCGGGTAGAATGGAGATCAACGTGTTTTAGTGGACTCAGCAATTTTCAATCTGCTTGTCTGAATCATCTTCAAGAAGCGAGAGCAATATCTAAAAGGTCAGCCAATCTAAGAGTGATCTCATTCACAATCCTCACACTTGCTCCATATGTGGCCTCCTTTGTAAATCACTAGCGGGTCTTAAATGCCACTTAAGATTATCGCACAAACTTCCATGACTGAATCAATAAGCTGTCAGATCCTCATACGTCGAAAACCGACGAAAAGAGTCCATTATATATATATATATATATATATATATATATATATATATATATATATATATATATATATCAAGGGAAGAGGTTAATGCAGTTCCAACGAGAGAAAA